TCTTATTAAAACACATTAAATACTTTCCTACCATCACTTTCCTATGTAAGCAACTGTTGTTGTTGCTGCCACAAGGGTCTTACACCACCAACACAGCCGAATTTGAATACTCATTTGCACACTGATCCCATCAGTCCACCCCACCCATTGCAAAATCCTTGTTGTGCCACTGTCACTTTGCAGCAGCAGTTCCAACAATCTCATACAGAAACAAAGCATCATTCCCCATCTTCTGCTGGTAAAGGAAGAGCCTCCTACCTCCGAGAACTGGCTTACTACCTGAGAGTTTCTAAAACATGGAAGTGGACAGACAAAAAAATGGCTACTGACCTTTCGTAACTATTGTTTTTCAAGATGTGTTGCACATGTCCATTCCATGCTAGGTGTGCACGCGCCGTGTTGCCGGAGATTTTTTTCCCCCTTAGTGGTATCCGTAGGACTGACCCTAGCGCCCCCTGGAGTCCTGCGCACATGCGTCAGTATAAGGGGTACCACTGGCTCCGCACCCTCTCAGTTCCTTTTTATCCATAACTCCAACAGAGGGGTAGGAGGGCAGGTCATGGAATGGACATAAGCAACACATCTCGAAGAACAACAGTTACAAAAGATTAATAACATTTTTTTCTTAGAGTGCTTGCTCATGTCCATTCCCTGCTAGGTGACTCACAAGCAGTACCCCTGGAGGTAGGCTCAGAGTTCATGGACATGCTGATTGCAACACTGCTCTCCCAAAACTGGTATCATCACAGGCCTGTTGGGTGATGGCATAGTGGGATGCGAAGATATGAACCGATGATCGTGTTACCAATCCAGGACATCTGCAGAGATGTATCTGTGTGAGGAATGCTGCTGACAAAGCCTGGCCTCTTGTGGAATGAGCGGTCACAATGGTTGGAGGCGGAACCTTTGCCTGCTTATAGCAAGCTCGGATGCAAGCGGTTATCCAGGATGAGATTCTTTGGGATGACGCCGGTAGTCCTTTCATCCTTTCCACTTCTGCTACAAAAAGTTGTGTAGATGTGCAGAAGGGCTTAGTCCTCTTGATATAGAAGGCCAAGACCTGTCTAATGTACGGAGCCAACGTTCCTCATCGGTGCTATGAGGCTTTTGAAAGAAGACAAGCAGAAAAATGTCCTGGTTGTTATGGAATTGCAACACCACCTTTGGCAGGAAGGCCGGGTTGGGGGGCAGTTGGACCTTGTCCTTGATGAACACCATATAAGGGGCTTCTGATGTCAGGGCCTTGATCTCACAGACCCTTCTGGCCAAAGTGATCGCAACCAGGACGACGACCTTCTAAGAGAAGAGCAGTAAGGAACAAGATGCCAACGGCTCGCAGAGGGGCCCCTGTGAGCTTAGACAGGACCAGATTTTAAGTCCCATGGGGGAATCGGGTCACGAACCTGTGGGTAGAGTCTTTCCCAGCCCTTGAGGAACCTGACTTTTATCTCTTGGGAGAAAACTGATCTGCCTTGTACTGGAGGATGGAAGGCTGAGACAGCTGCCAAGTGAACCCTAACAGATGATAGAGCCAGACCTTGATGTTTCAGGTGGAGTAGGTAGTCCAAGATGGACTTTAGGGAAGACTGAGATGGAGAAAGATTCCGTGCAGAGTTTCAACAAATGAAATGTTTCTACTTAGCCAATTAGGTAACCCTGGTGGAAGGCTTTCAGTTACCTAGCAAGACTTCTTGAACCTGATTCGAGGAAGCCTGCTCCTCAGGGTTCAGCCACGCAGCAGCCATGCTGTCACACATAGCGAAGCGAGGTTCGGGTGAAGCAACCGGCTGTGGTCTTGCAAAATCGAGGCCGGGCGGGATGGGAGCACTAGTGGAGCTGCCACTGAGAGATCCAGAAACATGTTAAACCAATGCTGGTGTGGCCACACCAGAGCAATCATGATAACCTTCGCCTTGTCCCTCTTCATCTTTAGGAGGACCTTGTGAACCAAGAGGATCGGTGGGAAGGTGTACTGCAGGCCATCTGCCCGCGAGAGTAGGAAGGCATTGGAAAGGGAACCCTTGCTGAGCCCGCGCATAGAACAGAACCAGGAAATTTCCTGTTCTGTCTGGAGGCGAACAGGTCCACTTGGGGGAGTCCCCCACTTGTGGAAGATAACAGTGATGACCTCTGGGTGAAGAGACCACTTGTGGCAAGAGGAAAGGACCTACTGAGGTGATCTGCCAACGCATTCTGGTCTCCTGGGAGGCGCAATGCCTTGAGGTGAATGGTGTGCTTCACACAGAAGTCCCACAGTCGGAGGGTCTCTTGACACAAGGCTGAGGATCGAGCTCTCCCTTGCTTGTTGACGTAAAACATTGAGGCCGTGTTGTCCGTCAAGACCTGCATGACCTGGTCTGAGAGCTGGGGAACAAACACCTGGCAAGCCAAGAATATTGCCCTGAGTTCCTTGACATTTATATGTAGAGAGAGTTCTGCAGAGACCCTGGGTCCTGAGTCTGCAGAGGTGGGCTCCCCACCCCAGGTCTGACACATCCAAAACCAATGTTATTGTTGGATATGGGGCAGCGAAAGGCACCCCCTTCATCACAGAACGAGGGTCTCTCCACCAAGTCAGAGAAGCTAAGATGGGCGACAGAATCGTGAGAACCAAGTCCAAGTGGTGTCTGCCCGGGGACTAGACTAATGCCAGGCTCATCTGTAGGGATCTGAGGCATAGCTGCACGTATTGCACCATGTAGGTACATGCTGCCATGTGACCAACAGCTGGAGTCACACCCGGGCAGTTGAAAGCAGGTGAGCTGTGACCCGGGCGATTAGATCTGACATAGTTCGGAACCTAGCCTCTGATGGGTAGGCCTTGGCCTGGATGGAGTCAAGCACTACCCCAATAAACTCTATTCTCTGCACTGGAACCAATGTTGATTTCTGTTCATTTATTAACAGACCCAGTGCCCAAAATGTGCACTGGCTCTACTATGCCAATGCTGTGCTGAATCTGAGTCCACGAGTGGCCTTTGATCAGCCAATCATCGAAGTAGGGGTAGACTTGTACACTTTGACATCTGACATAGTCTGCAACCATGCCATACACTTTGTAAAAACTCATGGGGCTGCTGACAGACTGATGGGAAGCGCGATGAATTGGTAGCAGCATTGGCTCACCACAAACCTGAGGAATCTCGTGTCCACGGAAGATGGAGATGTAGAAATAAGTTTCCTGTAAATCGAGGGTGGAATACCAGTCTCCTGGATCCAGGGAGGGAATGATAGAGCCAGGGAGACTATGTGAAACCTCGCAGAGATGAAGGAGTCTGCCATAGTGCCCTGACTGGTCCCAACACAACCTCATTGACTGGCTCTGGCCACTCTGGAGGGAGCTGCTGCTCCTTGGCTTCCAGCCCCAAGTTTGTAGCGACCCATTTCAGGAGCTCTTGATGGGCCCTGAAGTCATCTGGTTGAAGAGGGTTACTAGAACTTGTGACCCCCTAAATCCATAGGAGGGTTTGGTCCTTCCTCCTCCATCTGTACCACCTCCACTGGGGCCACTTCAGTGACCTCGGGGTGGGTACCAGAGTTGGGGTCCAGTGTTGGTCGGGAAGAAAGAGTGGCTCGTTCCGCAGACACCAGAGTATGACCACTGGTACTTTTTCGGTGTGGCAAAGGATTTCCCCCCAGACTCTGAAGAGGACTCTTCCCCTAGAGACCATGGCAGAGCCGTACCCATTCTGCCTCTAGGCAGTGCTAGGGAATTGGTGACTGATGCTGGGTCGGGGACCGCTCCGGTGGGGCCATGGAGGGCTTTCCTCTTGGAGGTGACACGACGGTCAGTGCCGCGACGGAGCTCACTGCCCCTTGAACCGTTCCATCCCTGGTTGGTAAGGGACATTTGGGGGTGGGAAGTATCAGGAGGGACATGAAATCCTTTGTAACCTGGAAAACCTCCGGAGTCGAGAGGGCCCGACTCTGGGGAGGACAAGTGGCCCAGCATGGGTCTCATTTTATCAGCTGCTCCCTGCTTGTCCCTCTTTAGCACCGGAGAACGCCCTCTCTCGGCACGCTGTTTCTTATGCTTCTTCCTGGGCCCTGGAATGGAGAATGGTCTCCATGGGAAGTGCTCCACCACCACTGCTCTTCCTGGCTCCAAAGTGCTTGGCGTCGATTCGGAGCGGCTGAGGACAGTTTGAGGGCTGCCTCCATGAGCAAAGCCTTCAGATGAATGTCCTTGTCTTTCTGAGTGCATGGACTGAAGCCCCTGCAGATCTTGCATTTCTCCTTAACGTGAGCTTCCCCAAGGCACTTTAGCCAACTCAATTGCGGGCTGCTCACTGCCACGGGCTTGCCGCAGGAGGTACACGGCTTGAAGCCTAGGGACCGGGGCATGACCAGTCCCTGGAATGATGTCCCATGACAACTAGGACTGCTATTTATACTATATACACTAATATTAATGGATAACTAAGTACGTTAACTATAAAAACTATATACACCTCTACCCTGATATAACGCTGTCCGCGGGAGCCAAAAAATCTTAACGCGGTTTCACCTATAACGCGGTATATTGAACTTGCTTTGATCCGCTGGAGTGTGCAGCCCTGCCCCCCCGGAGCACTGCTTTACCGCGTTATATCCGAATTCATGTTATATCGGGTCGCGTTATATCGGGGTAGAGGTGTACGATAGACTACAGAGTCTAAACCACTTGGAAAGCCTTGCAAGAGCAAGGTGGTCATTCCAAGCAACGGTGACAGGCGGTAAGGAACTGAGAGGGCGTGGAGCCTTCAATGCCCCTTATACTGGCGCATGTGCACGGGGCTCCAGGGGGCACGAAGGCCAGGTCCTATGAATACCACTAAGGAAAAAAAAATGTGCAGCAACTGTGCACGTGGCGCACACACACCTAGCATGGAATGGACATGAGCAAGCACTCAAAGAACAAGTTTTACTGAATCACCTCCTGCATGCAGGACTTTTATCAATAGACAAAATCAGCTCTGTGTGACAGAGGAAACGGGGTATATGCATATTGCTGGGGTAACTCACATGTGCAGTGCAGTCTGGGCCTTGGCCGCCTCCTGTTTGGTGTTGTATCGGATTAGGGCGGTGCCCTGGGTCAGGTTCAGATGGAATGTCAGCAGTGGGCCATGCTGCATGCAGATCGTCCTCAAGGTTGACCCATCGATCTGAGGAAGATAGTCAGGAAAAATAACAGTTTACTGAAAGAAAGGGGCACTGAACTTTTTGTTTATGATGTGAATACATCTGAAGAACTTGAGGTATGTTTAATAAATAAAGTAATTAAAAATTACATTTTAAAAAATCAGTTAGTATTGTGCTGCATGTCACAGGGGAAAGAGTGGGACCTTGAGAAGGTCAGTGAGAGGGATGGGATGTTATTTTCAAATAGGTTCTTTTCATTAGGTTTTTGTGCATCTTACAGTGACTTCACTTTGTAGTACAGTGATTAGATACTAAGCTTAGCTTGTTTTAATTTTAGCTCATTCTAGGCCCCCGTCTAATTTTCTCTCCCTTCATCTTGTTGAGATGACTCAATTGTGAATATCTCTGTGTTTCCCAGATTTCCAGTGGAGTACAAACTGTATTTCTAACCCTATTAGGGCAAGAAATATTGCACCAAAAAAACATGTCATTTTGATCACCTGATTTGCTTCCCCCCATCCCCAATGATTCAATTTCAAAAGAATTTTAAAACCAGCCAGTAATTTGAAAATGCTAGAGATTACTACTTTATACCATCTGAAAAACTGGGGATCTCAGTTTTTGAATGGTGCAAAGGATCTGCTTTTAACTTTGATGGTTTATGAGATAAATAACAATTAATACTGTTGCTAGTCTGCCAGACTAACAGAGCTCAGTCTCTCATCTTGGACACTTTCAGCAGCAGCTGCCTCTGTTCTTTCTATATCAGCAAGCATCACTTTGCCATTTCCCCTTCCTGATCACAATCAGTTCCATTTATATCCTTTTTCAGTAATTTAAACTTCTCCCAAATCTCTTCTTCTGCCATTCAGTGACTGCTAGAACAGCATGAAACATTCCTTGCATTAAGAGAAACATAGAAATGTGCTTTTTCATTGCAACTAGACAAACCTTTTTCCTATTGCTGCTCTTGCCCTCTATATCAAGGGAAAGGTTCTTTATAATGTGAGTGATGCAGTTTGGCATTTTGGATGACCTGAGAAGATCCCAGCCCTCCTTTCCGTGGTCTTAGTTCTTACGCTGTGCTGTGATATAAATTATCCTACTGGATAATGGGTGGTTGTCTAGTTTCCAAAGTGCTGCTGATAATCATATAGGCATTTCGTAGACTCCAATGCAGGCTAATTGGACTTACTGAAACCAGGACCTCTGTAGAATTTATTTTGAATGGAAACAAGCTCTGAGAATGACGAGTGCTGGAGTGTCCTAACTAGGCTGTGCTGTTGGCAACAGTGTTGGAAACATTCTGAGGTTTTGCTATGGAAACCCCAGAGTAAAACCTGGCAGTTCTCCCTAGCTCTTTTATTGACAATGTCCCAAAGAAACTGGAGCCTTGAGCTATTACGCACAACACAATCTATCCACATTTCTGAATGAAACAAACTTGAGAGTAATTCCTCCACAAAATACCCTGGGTAATGGTCGGGACAGTTACAATGGTCTTATGGCAAATATCAAACATCCTACCAAAGCAACTGAGATCTCTACACATTTAGCTGATGTGATTACTGTAGTCAAGCAGGCTACTCTGACTACGGGTATTTCATCAGAATCACCAAGCCAATTCAGCATCGTTAAACTTCATTAAAATGGGACTAGAAAAGCAGCCCACCAATCCTGCTCTCTGTAGTTTAGCACTCCCGCCTCCCAAAAGAGGAGTAAAAGAGAAATACCTGTGGAGTGAGATTGTGAAGAACCAGCCAGTAGCTAGGACGAACTGAGCCACCATCACTCCAAGTAGAGGCTGAAAACATTTAAACAGAGGGAGAAATACAAAAGTCAGAAGATATTGAGAGTACATTTTGACAAACAAATGCCTCCTCTGCACTATGCTCAGGTCTTTCCGTCTCTCAGACAATTTCATCTATATCAGACATACTAACAGAGTGGATTCTATGCTTTACAGTACTGTACACAAAACAATTCTCACATTTAACATTAGGATTAATTTTTGCCAGTTTGTGTCTTCTAGGGATTTCCCCAACCACATAATTCACTTCTCCAACACCACCCATTACTCTTCAAAAGCCCTATGCTGCAGAAATCCTCTCCTGGTAGCTCCCAGCCCTCTCCTTACTCCTCCCCAGGCAGCTCCCGGGACCTTTCCCTCACATTGACAGTAAGTTTCCATTTTAAAAAGGGATATTTTTTTCCTTTACCGGGCAACCGCAACTTCCTCTCTTGTGAAGGCCGCATCATATCCACACCATTAGCGCTGTATAACACACACCCCTCACGGCCGAGCAATGATGCTATCAGGAGATCCTTCTCACCAGAGGCAAGCCTTGAGTCCTGTGCCCCCCACCCCCTGACCGATCGGGGTGCTGTGCTGCTCCAGGGAGATGATGGTTTGGGGTTGGTCAGGCCAGGTGGTGGGCGGGGCAGCCCTGTAGTGTTCCTTGAGGAAATATGGTTTTTCCACATCTTGTTGGAGAGATGAGTGGGATTGTGTCCTATGGGATCTGGGGACCATGTTGATTTGTAATCACTGAATTTTGCTGTAAATAGATAAATAAAAGGCATGGATTAATGGGATTTAAGCCCCACAACGCAGTCTATGTAACTATGCAGCTATTGTAGCAGGCTAAAACCACTTGTATCAGATGCAGGCACACAATGTTCAAATCCATGCAGCTGTTAGCATGTACCAAACTAAAACACAAGCAAAGTCAGACCTGGTTAATCCCTGCTTTCTAGATATATTCTGACAGAGTAACTCATTCATTCATATAGTGACCTCTTATACACATTAATATAATCGGAGATCTAATTGAGAGATATAATTCAGATCTGAGGATCTCAAAGCTCTTTACAATGGTGGGCAAGTATTATCCTTATTTAACAAATTGAAAATTGAGGCTCAGAAAATAAGACACTTGCAGAGTGGGAACTCAAACCCAAGTCTCATCACTCCTTGTTCCCTCCTCTACATATTAGGCTTATGTTGCTTCCTAAAGATGTGTTATTTTTGTAGGATGACTTCCATTTTATGAGACAAGAGTTTCATTATGAGGTGCAAAGCAAGAAACTGAGCTATTGTGTAATATGGATTTATGAGATCCCTGATGACAGGAATTCAGTTTATCTGAGGTTGATCCCAAACATGGCTTTCCCCTAGTGAAGTTCAAAGACCTCCAATAGGAAGCCCTGTATGCTAACAAAAATGGGAAACTTCATACTTGCAATTCTGGATATGGGGGAGGTTCCCTCTTCTCCCTTTCTTAAGAAAGAAGACAGTAATACATTCTTCAGTTTCTCTTGAAGTTACTGGACACACTGCTCACCCAGTATAAGATTGCTAGGCAGAGTGCAGATTACTCCAGTAACTGGCATTTTACTTATTCTGACTGGACATAGCAAATGAACAATAAAGCATAAGATCCAAAAATCCTGAAGCAGCACTTGCTCTTCAAGGCAGGGCTGTCTGGGAAAAATCCACTTGTCTAGTCAATCTGGCTCACATCTGGTATGTGCATTTAAGTCCTAGCTATTGTCAAGTTAGTGTAGATTTGAAATGGAGAAAAACAATCAATCAGGGTTCCCTGTTCCCCAAGGTAGCACAATAAGTGCAAATCTGAGAATTAAGAATGCAGATTTGTTAGCAAAAAGGTAATGATTTATAATGCAACATATTTGGATCGCTACCTTCCATAGTGCTTGGAGTCCAGGGGTCTGTAAGTACCAATGTCTTGCATTAATTTTACACATGTAAATCTGAAGTGTACAAAAAAATCTAAACACCAACAGAGCTGGAAATTTTATTTAGGGATCAGTGAATTCTAACCTGCCTATTTTAGAGGACCCACTTCAAGGAGTCATTTTCCTGCACTAGGGAAATGCTCTGAAGCTGAGGAACATGTGTTAATCCTATTTATTTCTACTTCTTTAAATCATTCCCATCTTTTCTATATGCTAGATATAGTTAAAAGGAGGTAAAGCTGGGTTTGGTGTCCCTCTTCCCAGACTCAGATTAACCAGCAGTTGACTTTGAAACAGAAACTTTACATGTCCTTGTAGAACAAAGCTACATATTCAGACACTACTTCAATCAAAGCCATCCTATAGAGTCACACCTATTCAATTATAAGAACTAGCCAAGAACAATGCCAGCTCAAGGGAAAACTTTGGGATTTATAAAAAATTGGAAATCTAACTGGATTTCCTGGGTTGGATATTCAAATGGTTACTCAGTGGTGAGTATAGAGCCCATTGATTAATAGGAATGCTTGGTGTCTTTATAACCAAGAAAAGATGTAGGGCAAAAGTCTAGGCTTTGGTCTACATGTTAAACTGCTAGAATCACTATAACTTCCCTCTCAAGTCCTGAAGGGGGATGAAGGGTGCAATAGAATATTTTCACTTCCACTGGTTAACAGTGCTTTTCCTTTTTAGAAAGTTGCAAGGTGATTGCATATAGTGTTTCCCTCCCTTAACATCTCAGAGTTCTTGGCTTAGTAGCAGGTACACATAAAAACAAATTAAAGAAATGAAACCCTCACTATTTATCCTAGTAGATTTTGTATGAGAAATGCTTGTACATTTTGTGGATGTTCCCTATATCCTCTCTTCTTTGCCTTCTACTCCATCCCCTGACCCATATGCTGGACCTTTGTATTTTGGATCTTAAAGGGAATTCATTAAAAATAGAGGGTTGTTTTAAAGCAATTGTAATGGAACATTTTATCAGGAGGAAAACTAGCATACCAGCCAATCAAATCTCTCAATTCCCTAGCTTTCAGGAAGCATTAAAAGACTACACCCAAAGTAGAGAGACAAGGTGAGTGGGTACAGACAGAATACTGATTGGCTGGTGACTGTTTTTCAAGATCTGGAACCCACTTACCTGAAGTGCTATGAACATTGGTGAAGGAATTGTCAGAGGCACTGTAGGGCCAGGCACCAGGTGAAGGCAGCGAGGTGTTGAGGGAAGAATTAGACCCTATCAAAGGGGGAAGAAAGGAAGAAAATATTGCAGATAAATAGAAGAGTTTCTGTAATACCAACACTCCCCATTGGTTCCATTTCCACTAAATGTCAGTGACTCACAACATGTCAATGCAGCCTTGGCTTTTTTGTGTTCTCACCCTTTTTGGGGGGGTGGGGAGGAGAATTAGATTTTTTTTTAATTACTTCTGTAAAAGGTTGAGATATTGGAATGAATGCAGGTGTCTGCTGTTTTACCTGTGGTGTTGTCCCGCAGAAGTTGGTGGTCAGTATCTACAATGGGAGAGGTGGCTGTACCCCCCAGCACACTTCCAGGGGTCACATAGGGGTCAGATTCAGGGTCAATGTTTTGAATACCTTTCCATGGCACTCCCGGCTGGAACTCTGGGATGGGAAGGAATAAAAATAAGAAATGGCATTTACAAGAAATTAACAATTTGAGGATGTTTTGAAAGGGCTCATGACTATCTTTTATAGGGCTCCTCAATGGATCATCAGGAGAAGACTTTCCTATATAGAATATGCCTTGTACTACTCCTCTCCTCTCACTATATTGCTCTCCACAGTTCATGTCCATGGGAGTTTACCCCAAAACTGGCTTGAATACATGGGGCGCCCTCTGGACTATCTTCCACCTTTCTCATTTCAGACTGTGCTAGACTTCAATGACTTCAGCCTTGCTGACTACACTATACCCTTTTTCAATTATATTTTTGGCACACAGGAGCCTTTCCCAAAGAAGTTCATGCTACATCATGGGTCACCAATGCAATAAGCACCAGGCAGAAAAATCCTGCCCTTCCTCATCCCAAAATCACCTGGAAAGCCAAACATCCACACCTTTCACTGACAGATGTGCTTTCAGTGGGATTTTTTTTTAGCCTCCATGCAAGCATAACACAGAATGAAACAGCAAGCAGTACAGAAGAGGGAAACTGATTTGTGTGCATTCTGTGGTTAGGTGTTTCTGAGCAGATTTAATCAACTACATTCAAATCACACCTGTATGCCCATCACAAACACAAAAGGTCAGAGTTCACTTGTCAGAAATCAAGGATCATTTAGGCACTCTATAGTTATTCTGTTCTTAATTCATTATTAAATTTATACTGTCAGTTTAACACAGGGGTCGGCAACCTTTGGCACGCAGCACGCCAGGATAAGCACCCTGGCGGGCCGGGCCGGTTTGTTTACCCTGCCGCGTCTGCGGGTTCGACCGATCGCGGCTCCCACTGACCACGGTTCGCCGTTCCAGGCCAATGGGGGCGGCGGGAAGCAGTGCAGGCTGAGGGATGTGCTATTTAATATTCAAAGACAACAGATCTAATTGACTGGGTAGAGAGGCCCAAAAAATAACTCTCTTGAGATAGTTAAAAAAGCAGACCGAAGAGAAATGCTCGTCAAGTTTACTGTAAAAGTTGAGTGACATCCTTCCCTGTGCAATACCTGGAGGCCAGCTGGCATTGCTGGATTTGCTTCCGATCTTGTTCGTTGGTGGAGATTTGGCAGGTAACCAACTATCGCCAGCAGGGCCTGCATGGCCACCCAGCGGGTCGCCTGGGATTATGTCAAATTGGTTGTAGGGCGATCCTCCACGGGCTTTTCCAGGGGGCACTATTGCGCCTGAGAAGTGGGAGAAAGATATATTTACATGGAGGAAATATAGGAGTTTGTGAAGGGGCAAGAAAACTGGAACCAAGAGAATTTAAAACCACCACAGAAGGAATAAGATATTAGTTAAGTTAAAGCACATCACACCAGTTTCACTGTAGTTTCAGAACTACTGATGTGTGGGGAGTAAATGTTACCTATCAGCAGCTGATAAAGTTGATGGGTTAAAAAAAAAAAAAAAAAAAAAAAAAAAACCACTAGCAGAGGAAAATGTGTTCAAAAACCTGTCAAAGAGAGTTCAACTGGAATGAAGATTTCTCTATTAATATCTTTCATCTGGGGTGAAAAGTGATGGTATAAAAATGTTCTTATTTCAGGCAGTATAACCTCAAATCTCTCTCACCATTTTTGTGCATATTGGCATCTTGTGAAGCTACGGAGGGCAGCCCTTCCATCATAGAAGTCCACTGTTTAAAGCGAGATTCTGATCCAGTTTCTTTCCCTCCCACCATGCCATAATCCATGCCACTTGAACCAAAGCCTGTGAAACAGAAAACAATACCATTTTCTCTCTTTTTGTTTGAAATCGCCTTCCAAATGGATACTTGTGATCATAAAGATAAATAAAATGCAATGGTAGTAACTGAAATCCCTTTGCACAGCTACACTTCAGGTGGTATGAAAGCAATTCATCTGACTCCCAACCCCACATCTGTGCAGGACACATCATTGTGTCATTCCCACTAAACTTACCAGCTGCCAAGCAGATTCTCCGGTGTTACCATGCTATCAGCTCTGATATTCAGAAAAGCCATGTTCTACACGGATGCAAGTATATTCACTGTATCTTAGCACAAGTCTGTGGCTAGACTGAATTAAACTAGAATGACTCAAGAAGGCTGCGAAGGTAGTGAAACATGGTGATGAATGAACTAACAGACTAATTACCTCTAGGTGCTGCTGATAAACTAAAACAGACTAGTTCAGCTATATTTTTAAGATGCAAAAAAAATAATAATAATAATGCTACATTGTTTTCAAAAAGGCAGATTGACCATTGTACCACATACAATGGTCCAATCTTTTGTCTGTCCTCCTTTTCCTATCACCACTTGCTAAAGATATTACTATATTCTGTTGCTACAAGCAGGGATTTGGAGCAATCAAATTTTTCAATTACTCCGCTCCATCTCCGGGCACAAACCTATTGCTCTGCGCTCCAGCTCCGGGCTCCACTCCAAAGCCTTGGCTACAAGTGTCCAGCTTTCAGCAACTTGAGTCCAATTCACTTTTCCAATAGGTCCCAACTTTTCCTGACTTTTTTTTTTTTTTAAATCAAGTGATAAATGTCTTTGCATCTTCACAGCTTCAGTCCCTATTTTAACACAGAATGTGTGTATGTAGAGAGTGGAGGTGGTGGGGAGGAGAAGGGGTAACATCTATGTGCACTGAAGGGGAAGTCTATAAAAAAAAGTAATTGAGAGGCAATGTGATCTAGTGGATAAGCTACTGTACTAAGAATCAATAAACTAGGGTTTTATTCCCAACTCTACCACCAATCTGCTCTGTGACCTTTCATAAATCACTGCACTTCTCTGTGCCTCTGTTTCCTCTCCCAATCTTTGTCTGCCTTATCTATTTAGACTAAGTTCTTTGGGGGGCAGTGCCTATCTTTTACGTAATGCTGCTCTACCAGCCAGCCTTAAAATAAGCTTGGTAAGTCAGGATGCCATTGGGCTGCACTCTGTATGGAAAAAAGCCAAACCTAGAAGACTTGCAAGACAATGCAGTTTTAGCAATGGAGCTGACATTGTGACACAAACCCTAAATCCAATGCCTATACAGAAATTATAGTACCAGAGAATTAGTGCACTCCTGGTGGATCACAGGTCAAACTAATAGAGTAATACTACTGGCAACACAACGAATAACCCCAGCTCATAGCAGTACTCACCAGAACCATATCCGGGTATTTGCCCTTTGGTCTGTATATCTGAGAGACCCACATTCAGAGCATTGGGTACCATGCTGTCTAAATGTGACTTAGGCCCAACTGGATGGGATGGAGAATGCTTCATGCCAGGCTGCCTTTGCTGCTGCTGGAGGGCACTCACCATACGAGCAAGCTGCAAACAAAGGAAACGAACGAGTGAATTTACTCTCAACTAAAACTGGCTCCTTGGGTAATCATGCAGTAGTGGTTAGTTCTGAGAGAGTGAAAGGAAGCTTAACCGATACCTAGTGATGAAAGGAGTATGGCATGGTCTTTGTTGTAGACAGACAAGTTTCCTCAAACACCCTGCACCCCACATGCCTTTGATAGAACTAAGAGTGCCATACCTGTTGCTCTTGCTGCTGTCGCACAGCTTGAGAAATCTTTCTCTGGTTCTGTAACAGCTGTTGTTGCTGCTGCTGTTGCTGCTGCTGCTGCTGAAGAAGAAGCTGACATGCCTACAACACAAGTGGAGAAGAAAAAGATATGGGCTCATTTGGGGAAAAATTCTTGGTGGAACTGATCACTGGAAAATGCTTTATTAATAGCTTTTGGTAAGGACAAACAGTTCCTCGCTTTTCACAAGAAAATAAAATCACCATGAAAGAATTAGAAGAATATGATCTGGCTTTCCTGTTACACCTAATGAAATTAGAAACAGTATTCCCAGTAGCTGCTTTATTCAAGTCATTAAAAATACAAGCCCGAATAACAAAATCACTGAAATATCAGCCCACAATTGCTTCCCACCACAAAGTTGTTGCTAAGATTAATTACCGACTGACTATAACAAAAAATAGAGATCCAATTTCTAACTACACAGATAAGTTTAGATTGTGTTGACCCCTAACAACCATGTGTTTTCCTGTACAAAAGAGCAGGGGTGCTTGTACACAAATAATGCAAAAATCAGCAGAACATGTCTTGTTTTCTCTTTAGGTTTGTTCCACTTCTGTCTTAGCAGAGTTTGTAGACAGGAACAGGATTGTAGGAAACCCAATCTATCAGTGCAAGAGGACCAGCTACTTACTAGTTGAAACTGAGGAATATTTGGAAGCTGACTCAGCATAGCAATCTGTTGAGGAGATATATTGAAAAGACCTGGGTTCAAGCCACCGTTGGGAAACTGCTTGAGCACGGAGGCAGAAACCTGTGCAGAAATCAATTCAAACAGCTAAGATTCAACATATACAAAATGACAACAAAAAACGCATTGTTATGATAAAGAAAGTTGGGGAGGAGGTATTTGTGAAAAGGGTCAAGTATGGCATATACTCAAGTTTGCATAATATTTTAGGAAAGCCACTAGATTTCATTTTAACTGGCACCTTACACATCCATAAATGAAGAGGTTACTGCAGTTCTTTGAGATGTGTGTCCAGATGGTTGCTCTACTTCAGGTACGCATGTGCCTCTCGAGCCCTTGATCAGAGATTTTCAGTTAACAGTGTCCTTTGGGCCTGCGCATGCGCCCTATGCCTGTGCATGCTGGATACCAAGGCTACATCGGCATTTGCAGGCAAACCGCCCTCAGTTCCTTCTTCAAGCAAATGTCTCCTAAAGAACAGTCTGAAGCAGGGGGAAGGCGGCCAGTAGTGGAGCACCCATAGAGACAAACATCTTGAAGAACCACAGTTACTGCACAAAGTGAGTAACCTCTTCTTTTAGTATATATGCACTGAAACCATAGATTCATAGATTCTAGGACTGGAAGGGACCTCGAGAGGTCATCGAGTCCAGTCCCCTGCCCGCATGGCAGGACCAAATACTGTCTAGCCATCCCTGATAGACATTTATCTAACCTACTCTTAAATATGTAGCAGCCCTGCATATTTCAGATACTGATACATTCTTCAGTAATGCCACAGATGTTGCCTCTAATCTGGTTGAATGTGCTATCTCCCTTTGGGGGGGGGGGGGGGAGAGAATGAACGCCCACAGCATCATAACGTGATAATACATCCAGATATCCATCTCAGTAGCTCTGAGTAGAGATCTAGGACCCCTTGGATCTATCTGTGAAGGAAATGAAGAGCCTAAGTAACTTCCTAAATTGCTGGGTCCTACCTAACATCCAGCATATATAAATAGGATTCCAGGAGAGAACTATGAGGCTTTGGGAAAAACACTGGTAGATGAATGGATTGATTAACATGGAACTCTGACAGATCCTTAGCTAAGAATTTAGGGTGTGGATGTAAAGAAACCTTGTCCTTAAAGAATATTGTAAAGGTGTGGAGGGGAGGGGGAGAGGAGAATTTGCCATCAAGGCTCCAATCTTTCCAACCCTATGGGTTGACGTGATGGCTACTAAAAAGGCTGTCTTCATAAATAAATGCAACAGAGAACAGGGTGCCATTGGTTTGAATGGAGGTCTCATAAGGTAACTGAGTAGCAGGTTGAGGTACCAGGTTGGGGTAGGGTTCCTAACTGGGAACAGATATTCCTCAAACCCTTAATAAACGTAGACAATACCAGATGAGCAAATATGGGGAATCCTACCAGAGGATGAAAGCCTGATAGTGCGGCCAAATGGATCTTAATTGAACTAACTGATAACCCCGATTTTTTTTAGATCCAACAGGGAATCCAGGATGATTGAAAGTGGCACCGAATCAGGCAAGAGACAGCAATGACAATACCAATGGAAGAATCTCTTCCATTTCTGCAGGTTAAGAAATGTGGGTTGATCTTTTTCTGCTATTCAGTAACACCTGTGGTACTTCCACAGAGCAGGAGGAACCTAGTCCCATGAATCACTGAGGAGCCATGTCCTGAGGCGCAGAACCGCTAGGATGGGATGAAGCACAAAACACTCATCCTGTGACAGGAGATGAGGAATGGTCAGGAGCTCGAATGACGTCTGGACACAGGTGAAGCAAGTAATGGTACCAAGCTTGTCTTGGCCAGTTTGGCACTATAAGGATAACTCTGGCTCTGTCCTGTCACCTTGTTCATCATCATCACCCTCTGTATCAGCACCATTAGAGGAAACGCATAGTACGAAACCCTTTTCCAAGATAGAAGACAGACATCTCCCAAGGAGTGGTGGCCCAGACTGCCTCTTGAGCTAAAAAGAGGGCACTTCCTGTTCCTGGAGATGGCAAAGAGATATACCTTTGGCAGTTGCCCTTTTCAGGAATATGCTGTGGAGAATCTGAGTGTCTAGCTCCCATTTGCAATCCTGTGAGAAGTGTCTACTGAGGACATCAGGTGCGGTGTTCTGAATACCTGGGAGGAAGAGCACTGAAATTTGGATCTTACAAGCTATGCACTAATTCCATGGTTTCATGGCTTCAGCGCACAGGGAGGGGAATCTTGCTCCTCCCTGCTTGTTGATATAGAACATGCAGGATACATTGTCCATCATGACCCTGATTGATTTGTCCCTGATGAGAGGTAAGAAACGAAGGCAAGCGTTTCTGACAGCACAGGCTGATGTGGAGACTTGTTTCTTGGGTTGTTCATCTGCCCTGAGTCATGAGGGTACTGAGGTGGTTTCCCCATTCCAACAGTGATTGCACCTGTTGTTAAAGCCACTGGTGGGATTAGTCGACAGAAAGGAATGCCTTCTCAGACACTGAGCTGATCCTTCCACCAGTCTAAGGAGTACCTCGCTTGTAGAACTGTCACCTGTCTGTCCAAATTGTTCTGACTGAAGAATAGGTCATTCTGAGCCAACCCTGAAAGCAGCAGAGATGTAGCCTTGTGTGATTGGTCACAATGGTGGAAGCTGCCATATGTTCCTGGAGCTGAAGACAGTTCTTTATTTTGGTTCCCCTGAACTGCCTGTACCAGACCTGACAAGGTTCAGGGAAGGTAGGCTCACAGCAAGTCCAAATATGCCTCTATAAACTGTATCTTCTGTACAGGAGCTAATGTGAACCTTTTTACATTCTGCTGCAGACCCAACTCCTGGAAGAGAGCAAGGGCCATTTAAGAGGAAGATAGCACTGTTTTGTAGGAATGGCCCTTGAGTAGCTAGATATTGAGGTACAGGAAGACTAGGATCGCTTCTTGTCAGAGGTAAGCAGCCACTACTGCCAGGACTTTTGAGAACACTGCTGGGGCCAAGGAAAGATAGAAGGGAAGAATCAGTATTGGAAATGATCGTGGCCTATAGTGAAGTGTAGGTATTTCCGGTATGATAGAAGTAGTTCTATGGAAATAGGCATCTTGTAGGTTGAGGGCTGAAAGCCAATCCCCTTTCTCTAGTCACCACCCTGAACTTTTGAGACTTTATGAACTTGTTTAGAAGTCTTGGATCTAAGATCAGTCTCCACCCTCCGTCTTTCTTTGGGACAAGGAAATCCTTCAGGTAAAATCCCTTGCCCTTGTGAGGAGGAGGAGGAACCAGGTCTATTGCTCCTAATTGAAGGACAGAGTTCACTTTTTGTCTCAATGAAAGCTCTTGAGAGGAGTCCCTGAAGAGGCATGGGGAAGAGGCCTGGAAAAGAGAGAGTGATGTACGATGGATGGTATAACCCAATGTTATGACCTACTTGTCTGTACCGATCTGCCTCCAAGCATGTTGGCAACAGGCAAGGAGGTCTCCAATGGGGAGTGGGGGTGGAAGAGATGGGCTAATGGGCACAGGTGTAAATCCAGAGGTGAGGGAAGATTCGAACCCTTGACCAACCCATCAAAACTGTTGCCTTGAAGATAGCTGGGTGGTCATGGAGAGTAGGTGGGCAGCCCTCTTTCTGTGAAATCTCGCTCTCTTTCTGGGGGGCACGGTGGATTTATGGAACTTGGAATACTGAGTAAGATGTGATCTCTGGGCAGTCTTTGACCTACTAAACCTTTTCTTATTCAAATGTCTATATATGCTCAGAGATTGTATAACAGCCCTAAGAGGTCTTTTAGAGTGTGCAAGGACTCCTGTGGTTTCCGAGAACAGTTTACCACCATCGAAGGGGAGGTCATCCACAGTGTTCTGTACTTCTCTTGGAAACACTGGGAGATGGAGCATGATTCCCTGAGCATGACAACCGCCATGGAGATGAACCTGGCACCAGTGTCACCGCAGCATGTAAGGCCACGGATGGTGGTAGAGGCATAACCGCCTCGTCCGGAGAGGAGGATGAAATATGTGTATGGGGGTGGGCCTCCTTATCCGCCCTAGCTTCCTGCTCCTCCAATGTCTCCTCCTGTGGGAGGGCCGATTGGGGAGGAGAGGACTGTACAACTCTGGCCTACGAATGAGACAGTACCAGTGGTCTGGCAAATTGCTATCAATAGGTAGACCAGGAGTCCCAGTGTGGCCATTAAGGGGGCCCATACAGAAGTGGAGGTAGCATGCAGGGTTGGTTCCACCACCCTTGATAATGAACCTGATGTTCCCTATGACTTTCAGAGAATGGGTTCCTTAAGAGAACCCCAAACAGAAACAGAGGAGACCAACTGGAACTCTCTTTAATTCTCCTCCATCTCATCCAAAGGAGGAGCACCCGCAGAAAAAAGTGGACAGTCCTGCAGTACTAGAAGATTGTAGTCCAGAGATCAGAGTCTTGGTACCAAGAGATGTTCAGTACCCGTGAAGGGCGGGGACTCTAGTTCATCTGTTATCAAGAGGTCTTCAGTACATCTGAACTCCTGTGACACCAAAGACAGGATCGGTACCAATGTGTTAGCCGAGGCCAAAGTCGCCAAAGCAGACAGTACTGCTGACGGGGGGCATACTGAAGTAGAGGCCAATGTATCTGAGGACCACTGCTTGCTTGGTGCCGAGGGTGCTGCATGCCTGGGTACCAATGGCTGGGCTGACCTCAACAATACTAGTCGCAAATATCTATGCTTGTCCTCCAAGCTGGTAGAAAGTACCATGGCCCTATCGGAGCTGTCTCTCTCCTTCGTGCTCCAGGACTTTATGGCTCCACCAGTATCATAGAATCATAGAATATCAGGGTTGGAAGGGACCTCAGGAGGTCATCTAGTCCAACCCCCTGCTCAAAGCAGGACCAATTCCCAACTAAATCATCCCAGCCAGGGCTTTGTCAAGCCGGGCCTTAAAAACCTCCAAGGAAGGAGACTCCACCACCTCCCTAGGTAACGCGTTCCAGTGCTTCACCACCCTCCTAGTGAAATAGTGTTTCCTAATATCCTACCTAGACCTCCCCCACTGCAACTTGAGACCATTGCTCCTTGTTC